AAGGCACTTGACTTGTTGAAAGTCGTTTCCAATTCTAAGTGGGGAGGGGATCAAGCTACCCTCCTACAATTATATCGATCATTGGTACGTTCCAAACTTGATTATGGCTCCATCGTTTATGGTGGAGCCTGCAACAGTAATCTAAAACTTTTAGATTCTGTCCACCACCAAGGTCTAAGACTATGTCTTGGTTCCTTTAGAACTTCACCTGTTGACAGCCTCTACGTCGAGGCTGATGAGCCATCTCTTACACAACGCCGTATAAAATTAACTTTACAGTATATTACAAAACTTTATTCCAATGAGTCAAACCCTGCATATAACTGTGTCTTTAATCCACTATATGAAGAAGCCTTCTCTTGTTCACAAGTTGACCTAACATTAACTACATTTAAAAAATCAGAAACAAATGAATTACAGTATTAACAAGAATTTAGTCAATTAAGAAATAAATATAATACATACAAATCCTTGTTTACAGATGGGTCCAAGGATGGTGGCGCAGTGGCATGTGCCACTGTCATTGGATCCCGAACAATATCTTCTAGAATACCGGATAACAGCTCTATATTTACAGCAGAAGCAAACGCAATCTTAACAGCTCTTAAATATATTAATAAACTCCGTAAATATAAACAATATATCATCTTTTCAGATTCTCTTTCGTGTCTTCAGGCTATTAAAAATCTTTCTTGCAAATACCCACTTTTATTAGAAATTATTGAATTGTACAATGAACTTGCTGCTGGCCAATGCGACATCGTCTTTTGTTGGTTACCCAGCCACGTTGGCATTTCTGGGAATGCAATGGCCGATCTTGCTGCTAAGGCAGCCCTCAACAAATCTGTGACACCACTTCTAATTCCATACTCTGATTACAAAGCCAGCATTAGAACATACATCCGCGATCTAATGCAAAAGAAGTGGGACACCCAAGTAGGTATAAATAAATTACATGCAATAAAACCCTACATTGGTTACACCTACTTGGGTTGTCAGTCCAGATTTGAAGAGGTCATTATGCGACGATGTCGCATTGGGCATACCAGATATACTCATGAATATTTATTGAAAGGCGAAGAACCTCCGTTTTGTATCCCTTGTGATGAAAGGATCACAGTCAAGCATGTCTTGCTTGACTGCATTGAATATTCCATCACAAGGGATAAGTATTTTAATGTCAAAACATTGAAGGATCTTTTTTATAATGTTAATTATAATTTAATAGTTGAATTTTTAAAAGAATTAGATTTGTTGACTGATCTGTAAATAGCTAAATATTATATTGTTGGTAGTTTATATAAGTAACTGAGATTGTTTGTGGCTGTACCCTCAAAGGGGGTTGACGTAGCATAAAATTATTGTCCTCCTGAGAGGGTACGTAAGTCCCAAAACTTTCAAGTCAATTTAAACTTGCCAGGATTTTTAGACGTAGCATTCTTGTCTTTTTAATTGTAGCTAACATTTCTTACAATCGCCAGCAGCTGAAGGGATGGTGTTAACCCAACTAGGGTCCATGCAGGTAGCCAAGGTACTGTAAGTCCCCATGGTCCCTAGTTTGGTGATCTACCTTCTGGTGTTGGCGATCTATAGCTTGTTTTTATATTGTATTGTCCAAATAGTGCTATCAGTTTTAACTCTCCATACTACTTTAAGTTGTAATTGTAATATTCTAGTTTTTTTACTGTCCTTCGTCGACAGGTTTTACAATTTCTCTATATATTCTATTTTAATGTCAAGTGTTCTCGTCACGATATGGCTGAAATATTGCCGATGTGACGTTAAATAATAACTCACTCACTCATTCGGAGTTATGGAAAGTATAAGTTTTGCGGGTTCAGAAACCAATGCCAAGTCTAGCCTTTAGTAAACGTCAGCTAGCTAAATATATATGCAAGGAATGTCAGGTCAGAGGTTAAAGGGCGGTCCTCCAAGGAACTGACCAATCAGGAACAAGTACATTGTATTGTCAATATGGCTGGCGTTTTCTATGATCTAGACGCGAAGCACAGAAGTCATATTTTCAAGCGAATTAAACTTAACACAATAGTTTACATATCACAAGTTTAATTATCATAACACGTTTGTCCTACATTATCACTTATCAGCAATATATTTTCTTGAGTAACAAGCGAACTCGGTAGTGTAATGCAAATTAGGGGGCGGAATTTAGACATGTTTGTAAACAAACTCGCACTACCAGGTTATCAATCAGACTATGTAAGTTCTACACTTGTACTTTCGCATGCACAAGGGTACATATTTTAGTGACTCTTGAGCATCGAATAGCATACCCTCCCCTGTTTGGCGTTACAGTATATAACGTAGTTCAAATAACTCAAATCATAATAGGTCTAATTTATTTAATTTAGAGCTATTATAATCTCGTTATATACCTCTGATTTTCCAGCACAGTGTGTTTATCTCCTAACTCACTCAATCCTCACCACACACACGACTCTTTCCGCAATCTCCAAGAGTCTCGATGAATGTTATGTGCGAAAATACGATACACGCGCGACAGGATTCGGGTGATTTCATACAATAATCCCGAGTTCTTAAGTGATTAAGCCACTTGTTTCAAAAATCGTGAACAAAATACATCGTTATTTTGGCACTTCAAAGAACATGTCTAACAGAGTGTTGATGCCAAATATGAAGTTGTATTTCTGAAAAACTAATAAAGCTATTTGTTTAATCACAACTTTAAAACGTAGCTCGGATGTGCATGGTGCAATGACAAATAAATTGTATTAAGATTTCATTGATTTTCAAGATTTTCACTCACATTTAATTTTATTCTAAAAGTCACGGAAAAAAGTCCATAAAGTCTGTCTGTCATTGCATAAAGTAATCACTTGCTTATACGTAAACAAAATACCATTCAAAATCAGGCCATTAGCAGTTGAGAACTATGTTCACTGAGATCGAAAATGTGTGTATGAAGGAAATAAGTTTGTTATGGTGTTTTTCTACTATAGCACTACATAAACAAACAAAATATCAGTTTATTAAAGATATGTATTCCAAACACTTGAAACAATACATTTAAAAAAAGAAAGAAAAGAAAAACACGTAAAACTTCCCTGCATCATACAACAACCCTCAGTTGCCTCAACACAAACTCTCTTTTTATGGTCTCCCATTTTGCTCTGCCTTCAGCCCTGGGTGCTGCCTGGCTTTACTTCCCTTCTTTCAGGGTTCTTACTTGACCAGGTCTTTCAATAAAATTGCTGTCAGTTCATTAGTTTTTATTGCAACCTTTTTCATTACCTGTGTAATGTGACAAGTTCCCTCGTTGAAGGTGACATTTGCATATGCGACTGCCTCTTGCCGAAAAATACATTCTTTGGACAGCGGGACCAGATCACAGAATGCAAGCATTCATTAGCAATCTGTGTCCTGCCCTTTTGTGACCTTCTTCGATACAAAGGAACTGTAACAGGTTGGGTGTGGGCAACGTGGTTGTCAGGATGTTTGCTGTCCCATCACAGAGATATAAATAAAATGGATTTAAAAGAAAACTCTAACAAATAATTAAAGTCATTGATAATTTTACTTGTTATTACAATGGCAAATTGTGGAAGAAAAAAGTGCAAGACGCAGAGCTGTCAACCCCTAAAGATGGTTTGGAGTGAGACTGAAAAAAATAAGCCGGGGTCTATCCGGGGTCATGTCGAGGGCGACGCCCTGGTGGGGGGTATCTGGGGGGGCGAATGAAGTTTAGTGATTTTCAGGAGCATTTGGAGCCTTCTGGTGGCATTATTTTGACACTAAAAGATGCATGCTAATAAATAATAATAAGCCGAATCATTCGCAATTACTTCTATAATTTCTAGATTTTGATTAATCTAAAAGGATAATTACTGCGCGCTAAGGCAGATCCAATAATGCTGCACGGTAATTATTATACAAAAACTCTAATAAACGTCTATGCAATCGTAAAATTTCCTAATATCTCTCTCGGCCAAAATCTACAACTGAAGTTCAGTGTGTTATGTCTAAAACTCATTTGGACCAAGATTATAAGTGACGTCATTCTACTTCCGGAAATACGTTTAGCAGACGACGTCGAACCGTTAGAGCCAGAAAAATGCAACTAAACACCAATTAAGACGTGACTTTAAATTACACGGATGTAGACAACCAAATACCATTTCCAGGAACATGCTTGCGTATATATTGGTAGAAGCGATCTCGGTATCGACAACACATTTTCTGATGACGTAATCGCAGGTAGATCGCGGGACAATTCAGGCCGCTCTCTTGTGCGAACTATAACCAGTGTATGAAATAAGCCCAAAACCCAGTCATGCAGATATCAGGGCTGGTAACTTCAAAATGTTACCTGCCCAAAATGGATTTAACCAGACTAGACAATCCAAAGAAAATAACTAAAGTTTTTAGTTACAATGAATAATTTAATGACCCTGAGACATGTATTTACTCTCTAACAGTCTATTCATTTTCTGATAAATCCGACTAAAAGTTTCTATAAAACATTTGCAAGACCATCGGGCTGGCCAGCTGTAAATTTAGACCGTCCGTTAGAAATCTAACCCGACTCGGACGGGGCATATTTCATACACTGCTATAACTGTTAAATCTTACGATAATAGATTAAATTGATCTTATAACTACAATATACATTGTTTTTACATACAAGACGTGTATGTAATAATAATAATACTAATAATGTATCAAATAGTTACAAAATCATGAAAACTACAAAGGTCTCGATTGTTTACAGATCACAGATCTTACCATCTGTTCGGCAATATGTGCATCAAGGTAACGTCTCATGTTGTCTTCATGAGCAGGAGGCTCTTGATCATTAGCAAGTGCTCTATTTAAAACACCAGCTGGAGGGGCCAGTGGGACCTACTATGATGGGGAGCATCATCAGTTGACGTTCCTCGTGCCATCGATGTCACCAAACATTGTTAGTGATGGCAAAGCGGTAATAATACTACAATTTCAAATCTTTTTCTTAGTAAGTTTCCCTCAGCCCCTACCGCCCAATCTAAACTCTTTTGACATATTATAAAAGCCGTGCCCATCCTTTCAGGAGCATGGTAATGCATCTTCCTTGTCAATACTGATGTCTGGTTCAAAAGGTTGAAGGTCGGTGACAGCCTTGTGAGTTTTGAAGTCAAACCATCGACAACTGCTCCAACACCATAATTTGAAGTGTGGCGTCTCTTCTGTCATGATCCGTAATAACTAACAGTTATTTCTAAGGGTACATTATTTGAAACAGTCACCACAGGTCTGTTCAATCGTACACTGACAGAACGTCTTCAGTATTTTCAATAACAACTTTTCAAAGAATGTCTTGTTAGTGTTGAAATGTTTTGGCATGAAGACCTTCCATTCCAAAAGCCAAACAAATGTTTTCATTGCAGCATGACCAAGTCCACTCCACCTCTGACAAAAAGAGCATAAAATATCATTGACTTGAAAGGGGCTGTTACCAGATTGATTACCTGACCTTTGTAAGGTGTAGTTCTTAGCCACATATATCTGACAATGTCGACATATCAATATTGTCACTTTTTCAATCATCAAAAGAATCCTGTTCATGACATGATGAACACTCAGTCTCTTGACAAAAGTAAATTCTGCCTCATATGAAGAATTTCAGGTTGACGTTCCTGATTGTCAAGGACTTGAGATCGGAGGTTTTCAGCAGTTTTAAATTTTGAAAGCTTTATGTCACTGCGTGAATCTCCATTCAATGAAACCGATTTCTCACCTTTCATGGCTCCAATGGGAACGTATTCCTCACTAGCATGGTCCCCAAATGATTCCGATGCATCTAAAATATCGAAGCTGTCAAAAGCTAACACAGGGTTGATCGCGCTGTCACCACTTGTCGGATCTCTGACACCGCATTTTAAACGTACCTGCCGCAACGTGACTTATTCTTACCGTATGCATGCTTTGACCTGGGTTTTTTTTTGGTTTTTTTTAAAAATGCAACAATCTTCTGCCAGGTATATATAAAAAATGATGTCAATATTTCCGCTAAGCAGCCGCCATTTTGTATACCTGACACTTGGCATCGTATTCCAATTAGATCGATGCTCATACAGTTGGTCACTGGATTGTCTGGTCCAAATTTGATTATTTACAGACCGCCACCAAATAGCTGCGCTACTGCTGTGTTCGGCGTTTAACAACAAACAAACATGGCCATTGGGGCTCAGGCTGGCGCCACGGTCCTTTGTTCTACAAAAGAGAACCTTTCTCCGCGCTTGTTCATGTGTTTCATGGTGAATGTTTACTCAATGATTAATAAATAATACCAATGCTGTTTAAATTTCAGTACAGGGGGAGGAAGAGGGTATCGACTGAATATGCATATTTACACATAAAGACACGTCGACGTTTAGAAGGAAGTATTTAATCATGTTTGTTATGTACTCATTGTATTAGTAATCATTAGTACCATCATTAGATCTTTTATAAACATTCCATAACAAAACTATTTTAACATGTTCAAAATATGTATACAAATATTTTTAAAATGTCCAGTACAGTAATTTTAAACCAATATTAATCTACCACTCTTAAATGGTGGAACGCGAACACATGAACTATTTCTGTGGCGGGTGAGGCAGAATCTGAATTTCATTACGTCAATGACGACGTTGCAATATTTTTGCCTTGAGAAATGAAGAGTTGTTAACCTACGCCAGTCGAGACTGGAGTAGACAAACAAGTGGTCAATAGTATGAGCAGACAGATGAGACCTCTGAGAAGTGGCCCTCCAGGTACATATGCCAAATCCTTGCACGTTATACTCGTGCTGCCCGACGAACATTTTTGTCGTCTGTTACAACAAGCATGTAGTACTGGGACCTATCTTGGCATGTCCGAAATGATTGTATCAGAACATAGTCACAGCAGCAATCATTATCTGATGCCTACCTCTTAACAGATCTCCTGTGGTAAGAGGAGGCATTTTAGGCTGCAGAGACAGACGACGTTGTGGCAGTAGTGGTGGCAGGAGGAAGATGGATTGTCTTGTTGCCTCCTCTTCTGAGCCACCCAACGAATCCGACCGCCGTTCTGTCCTCTGGAGGTGCCATATTTCTTTTCTTCTCCTGTGTGGACAGCAGACATCTTTCTCGTTTTTCCTGATCTCAATCGTTGATCTGTGAAAACAATAGCATGAACAGTACACATAATCCGGTCATACCTTTAGTGTTTTTTGGTTTTGTTTACGACGTTAAACAACAGACAAAACATTAACAATATGACCGCATTGTGTGCATTATGTATACTATATCCTAATCCTCGTATGCCAAACAACCGTGAAGATCCGGGGTAGAATATGCCTTTAGTAACCCATGCTTGTCGTAAGATGCGAATAACGGGATCGGGTGGTCAGGTTAGCTGATTTGGTTGACAGATGTCATCGGTTCCCTATATGCGCAGATAGATGCTCATGCTGTTGATCACTGGAATGTCTGGTACAGACTCGATTATTTACAGACCGCCGCCAAATAGCTGGAATATTGCTCAGTGCGGTGTAAAACTAAACTCACTCACTAAACAACAACAAACAAAACATTATCAATATATCCTGATTGTGTGCATTATTTATTATTAAGTAATACTCGGATACCGAATATACATTATGTTTGGCAGTTGACAAGATATTTCTAAAGCAAAATGTCCCAAGAAGGAAGACGACAACAGGATTCGGCCTGAAACGTGATGTTTATGGTTCACCTACCAGCTGGATGTCGCCAAGGCTGAGTCTGGACATGAGGGATACCAGGCGGCGATTGGCGACCCCGGTGTAGGGGACGAGAGGGGCTGTGGGGGACAAAGTCGATGTTGCGAGTCTCTATCACGTTGTTTTAATGTTTCTATGATGTTTTAATGGAGATCATGCCCAATCATGCTTAGATGAAGAACCATATTCATACAATGATAGTAATGTTTAAATGTTGTCTCAATCACTGAAATCACATTTTATCGACGCTTTGTGCATACCTGATTCTCATCAAAGAAGATCGTAAATGCTCGTGGTTATCGTGGTACACCGGCGCAGTTGCTCGTGTCTCGTGTGTGTCAAGAAATTGAATTAATGTGACCTGCTCGTGCCATGGAATTAAATATTACCAACTACATACACATTGCCGTTGGTTGGTGCATATCCCAATAGTCCTATCAACTATTGAGTAGGGTGTGTCACTTACCTGAGACTGGGAGAATCTCAGTTTTATAGTTTTCTCGTCAATGTCAGAGGCCCACGCTACTTGGCTGAATCTGACCTTCTTGATTGGCGCTTTGGCAGGGGTCTGAAAGGAACTGTTTCATTACGTGCATACCTAATTATTGTCCTTATGTTTTTACTCACTTCTAGAACAATGCTAATGATGGACAGATGGTCACTATGTTTTGGTCGAAGTACACAGTTTGAACTTCGTTCTTAAAGCTGCACAATATGTTAAGCATATTTCTGGTCTCCCCTGCCGTGATATTGCTGGAATATTGCTAAAAGCGGCGGAAGCAGCGTTTTGTTTTGTTCTTTTTCTATATGGGGATCACGATGTCTTACTCATCTGCTCATGAATGGCAAATTTCTGCAAACTCTGGAGCTTTCTCTTTCTTTAGTTTGACTTAGCTCCTAAAGCTGTGTTCGAAGTTCAGGATTCTGTATTTTGTAAATTTCCTTTTAGCAGCCTTCTCCTTTTCTCATACTGTATTACAGCCAAGGAGTTCCCCCTCTTTTCCTTATTTGGTGGCACGCTTGAAGACGGTTCTTTTCTCTTTGAGCATCAGATGGGTCTTTGTCACCTTGCATATCCTTGTTTTATTTCTGACCCGTGGATAACAAAATCACAACATTAATTGAGAATGTGAATTTACACCACAGAATCGTACAGGCAAAAAATATCGTGTCCTTACAAGATTTGCATATAATATTCACAATACTATTTGACCCAGTGAATGTGAACTCTCACGTTTTACACAAATTAAGACTAATAACATGTACCTAATGAACATACATCAAGAGTTGACTATCACTGACTAGACAGTACATGGATATTTAGAAAACAACAATACAGACTGAATGAAATGGAGGGATAATACTGGATTTATTTGACACATATTAACAATCGTACTGATCACTAACCTATTTTGAACTGCCTGCCATCCAGGTCCAGTCTAAACACTACACACAGAGGTGCTAGAATAAAATGGAACCTTTCTATTGTGATGAGTGCGTGAGTGAGTTTAGTTTTACGCCGCACTCAGCAATTTTCCAGCTATATGTCGGCGGTCTGTAAATAATCGAGTCTGGACCAGACAATCCAGTGATCAACAGCATGAGCATCGATCTGCGAAATTGGGAACCGATGACATGTGTCAACCAAGTCAGTGAGCCTGACCACCCGATCCCGTTAGTCGCCTTTTGTGGCAAGCATGGGTTGCTGAATACCTATTCTACCCCGGATTCTATTGTAATGAACAACATATATACACGAAGCAAAAGTAGTAATCACAGCAATAGACTAGATAGTAACACATGAAGTAACGAATGAGATATGGAAATTAGAAATATAATGGTCACATTTGTTTACTTTGCATACTTGAATTTACCTAATCATGTTGTTATACCACTATATAAAATAATACAATCGAAACCGGTAAACATTTCAACTTGTATTATGCCGTCTGTACAGTACAACCAGAAATTATTGAGAATTTAAAGATTGTATTTTGTTCACTCATTACTCACGTATTAAATGTGAATATAAGCAGAACATAACTCCAGATTCAAAGACAGGTGAACAGTTAGTATTTTGTCAAGTCACCATGGGCAGCAATGCGGCGGGGCATACTACTGATCAAAGAAGTTAACCAGGCCTGTGAATGCTTTGAACGATGTTTTGGGTCGTTGTCCTGCTGGAAAATCCAAAAATTCCATAGAACACGTGAGCAGATAGAAGTAAATGTCCCTCGAGAATATCTGTGTACCGCTCACTGTTCATATTCCCTTCAAATACACAGAGGGGCGTTGCCCCTAACACAGATAGGGATTTCGGACTGTACTTTGGGCGCTGATACAAAGGTTTTTCAGTTTGTTTGGTCCAGAATTTCAGTGTATTAGGAAACAGCCACACAGAACTTTCATCTGAGAAATTCACATTGCCCAGTTAAGATTTCTATGCTGTAAGCACCAGTTCAACCTTCGCTCCTTTTGTTCAGGTTCCATGATCGGTGATGGAATTCCTCGACTCTTCTGCCAACCCATTGCATGCAGTTCAGTTGTAATTGTCTCCTTACAGACAGCCACAGTTCCACTATCAATCATATCCAGCCTTAAGTTTTCTAGACTCCTTCGTTTGTTTTTAGAAACAAGAATACCAAGCCGCCTTCTGTCACCGACAGTCAATTTTCTGGGCCTACCTGAGCCTCCCTGGTGCTCAATGCCATATCCATGTGCAATAGTTTTCAAAACACGATAAACAGTGGACAAAGGGATGCCTGTCCTACATGAAATCACTTTAGCTGATCTCATGTCCTTGTTATAATACTCTAGACAATCCAGTGATCAACAGTATGAGCATCGATCTGCGCAATTGGTCATGGGTGACAGCATGTTCCCCTCTGGATCTGACATAATTGCAAAATCAAATATCAACCATACTATCGTTAGCGTGTAAATTGCTTTGTAATCAGGGCTACATATGTAGTATAGTATAATTAAGAATTGAATGTCACTTTGTGTGTTTGCACTGAAAAATGAACGATGTCAAAGCGTTGTTCAAACTCGTGTGAACGAGCGAGTTTACACGAGAGTTTGAACAACGCTTTGACATCGTTCATTTTTCAGTGCAAACACACAAAGTGACATTCAATTCTTATAGTTTCGCACTTTGATGTTTACACATGCGTTTTTTACCCACTTCTACATGATCATTGTTTACAGTGATGTGTTTTAATACCTGTAAAATGTGGTAATGTCATTCTGTTCAAGACCGTATTATAGCGATGTTTGGCCATTTTTTTACACATGTATCCCAACCCATGAAGAAATAGTTCTCAAAGTATTCCTTAAAATATTACAACAAATCTGTCAATAAGTTTGAAACTGCTTTAATAAGCATAACATCAATAAATTTATCAAACAGAAACAAATATCAATAACAGTATCATTTTAACAAACTGCCATAGTACCTATAAAACTATGACGGATTCGTTTGACTGCGTAATAATACACTGACCGACTTCGAAATTTTGCGGCGTGGCGAATTGGAAGCAGATTTCGTTGGTGTATTCTATTTATTTGTGATTGTTTATTGTGAAAGTTAATGAGCAGTTTTGAAACAGATCACGGGGCAGAACCCGCAAACCGCGAGAGATTAAACTCTTGTGTTAAGGAAGAATGCTCGGCAATTGGAAATCCGTTTGGTCGTGAAGAAGCGACATTACCAAAATTGGGGTGACTTGAAACAGGATCGCTCGCTAAAGTGGCATCACCAAATGCAGCAAGATCATTGGATGTCCTTGAAACCGTAGCGGAAATTTGAAAATTAGGTGGTTTAAACATATTTATTTCTGATACATTGTTCAGAAACTGGTTCGGCAAACAAGCAAAACGCTTATATTAATGCCTCTCCAGACGAAACAACATTTATGCGACTTACATTTCATAACAATATTACAAAAATACATGGTATCATAAATAACAATAAGCATACAATATACATGAATATGAACATCCACACAGCCACAAATACTGCAAAGGGACAGATGAAAACTTAAGACAGATTAAATCTTTTTGAACTGGTAATAAAGGTATGTACAGATTTGATAATATCATGATTTATAGATCTAGGTAATTCTAAGTTACCATACAGAGCGTCATTTATGTTATATCCATGTTTGAAATAAAATAAATCGTTTCTTATGGCATCATAATTGGGACATATAAAAAGATAATGAAGGGTGTCCTCGAAGGCGGCACCACAAATACATGATGGGTTGTCGGATATAAATCTACTTACTTTAGGGGCATTTAAATCGCTGCATTCTAATCGGAGTCTACAGTGGATTATTTGACAGAACCTGTTTCCAATGTTGATATCAAATCCGAATGAAGTATTACAATATAGTGTAATCTTGTTTTTAAATTCACTTGGTGACTGTATAAGTCTGAGTTCTTCAGGTAAAGAATTCCAAAGTTCAATAGTACTGGGCAAAAATGATTTAGCATATGAAGTAGTTCTTATAGGGATTTTTTGCAAATTAGAAGAGTTTCTTAAGTTATATGGATTTGCAACAGAGACAGATTCTGGCACGAGACTGTTTAAGTAATCTGGTGTTTTGTTATGTATCATTTTATGGAATAGGGTCAGTTTCTGAATGCGCCTTCTTTCTACTAGAGGTAAAAGATCAGTTTCTGAATATAATTTATTATGACTTGTTCCCCCTGTAGCCCCACATATTGTTCTTAGTGCATCAAGCTGCAATTGTTCAAGCATTGATGCCTGACTAACTGTACAGTTATCCCATATACAACTACAATAATTAAATAATGGCAGAATAAAGGATTTATACATAACATATAGTGTTTTTCTTGAAAAATTAGGTCGCACTGGCTGGGACTTGTTGTCGGTCAGATTTTTGCAAAACTGTGTTCAGTTGGCGCTTTTTGTTACGTACAAAAACAAGTAAGTGATATGTATAAATTAAAAGGAGTGTGAATGCAAATGATTTATTTTGTTTGCGTCAAGCTGGACAGCGAGTATCCTGGGGAAAACCCGGAAAGTAGTTCCGGCAAAAGTTCACATGACCCAGATCGGCTCGAAAACGTTCACACACGTATGAACGATGTTTACACATGTATGAACGATTTGAAGGGTTCAAGGGAAATGAACCTTGAAGTTTAGATCACATGACCGCTCTCTCAACCAACCAACGTTCGGGAATCTGTGTAAACTTCAAAGCACGAAATTATATAGGTATCAACTTCATAGTTTGTATGTACATGCTGCATGTCACTCTTTTTAGAAGGACCAAAACCTGGCAGGGATCATACAGATCCGTCAAATTACAGACCGATATCTCTAACTAGCTGTGTCTGTAAAACCATGGAACGTATGGTGAATAATAGATTAACTTGGTATCTTGAAACCAATAACCTCATAATAGATATTCAATGTGGTTTCACGAAAAATCGTAGTACCATTGATCATTTGGTACGTTTAGAATCCTTTGTTTAAAATGCTATAGTAAATAAACAACATGCTGTATCAATTTTCTTTGATCTTGAGAAAGCTTATGACACGACCATGGAAGCATGGCATTTTGAAGGATTTACATGATTTTGGTTTGAGAGGCCGTTTGCCTCTTTTAATATCACAGTTTTTAAAAGACAGGCAATTTCAAGTCCGTGTGGGTTCAACCCTGTCTGGTCATTACAATCAGGATCAGGGTGTCCCTCAAGGCAGTATTTTGTCTGTCACTTTATTTAGTATCAAGATCAACAGTTTATCCAAGGTTTTAAACGATTCAATTGATGGATCACTTTTGTGGATGATTTTAATATTTCTTGTCGTGATAAAAGTATGCATACTATTGAACGGCAATTGCAGTTGTGCTTAAACAAAATAAATAAATGGTGTCTTGAAAACGGCTTTACATTTTCCAAGCCTAAAACTAATTGTGTACACTTCGAACAGCTGAGCTTTGTGCAGTACAATGGGAACGTTCATGTGAGATGTGTGTGCATCTATCGTCCACCTGTATCCAAACGTAATGGTTCTACTCAACAGGATTTCATTGAAGATTTCTCATTGCTTCTGTCAAATCTCACACAGAAAAACATATTAGTTCTGGGAGATTTCAACATTCATTGGGATAATCCACAGGATGCCGTCACGAAAAAGTGGATTAAGCTCCTGGAATCTCATGAGCTTGTGCAGAATGTGGCTTCTTCTACCCATAGATCAGGACATACCCTTGACTGGGTTGTTACTCGACAGGACCGGGATATCTTGGATGATGTATCTGTGTTGGACTCCCAGATGTCTGATCACCACGTTATCACCTGTATCCTATCTTTAGTGAAACCGCCAAAGTCTGTTAAAACTGTCAAATCTCGCAATATTAAGAAAATTGATAGGGAGGACTTTAGATCAGATTTACTAAACTCACTACTTTTCACGAGCCAAACTGATGATCCGGAAACTTTATGTGAATTGTATAATGACACCTATCCCATCTCCTTGATAGGCATGCACCCTTTAAAGAGAAGAATATTCCCGACCGTTCGTCGTTACCATGGTTTAATGAAGAGATCGCTTCCTTAAAAAGAGAGCGTCGTGTCATAGAACGGAGATGGAGACAGTCGGGTTTAGAAGTGTATCGTCAAATGTTCACTGCCGCTAGAAACTGTGTAACTAGGGCAGTACGGAGGGCAAAGTCTGCATACACTCTATCAGCTCTACAGTCAGTAAGATCCAGCAGAGAGATGTATCAGCTCCTAAACCGCTTAGTTGGCAAGGCTAAGGATTCTGCTCTCCCACAGACGTCTGATCTGGGGGAACTTGTGGATAACTTCAATAGCTTTTTTGTTGACAAAATCTGCAAGATTCGAAATGAACTTGATTCATTGGATATACCTGTAACGCATCATGAACCAACGCCATTGGGTCAAGTACACTTCATCAGTGCTTTTGCACCATTTTCAGAAGCAGAGGTCCTAAAGCTTTTAACATCAGCAAGACCAACATTTTGTATGTTGGATCCAGCACCAACACGATTTGTTCTTGAGTTCATTGATGTTTTGCTTCCAGTGATCACACGGATAATAAACAGCAGTTTATCTTCCGGATGTGTCCCCAAGTGTCTGAAGGTCGCTGTTGTTAAGCCACTCCTGAAAAGCCTGGCTTAGACGCTGACACACTATCGAACTATAGGCCTGTCTCTAATTTATCCTTCATATCAAAATTGCTTGAGAAGGCAATCAAGGTACGCCTTGTTGATCACTTGACCTTGAATGATCTCTATGACGTGCATCAGTCTGCATATCGCTCCGATCATTCCACAGAGACCGTACTTCTGCATGTGATGGAGAGACTTCTTGCTGCAGCTGATGCGGGCTATGTTACAGTTCTAACGCTGCTTGATTTATCAGCGGCTTTTCATACCATTGACCATGTTCAACTAACTGAGTGTCTGAAAACAGAATTTGGTATTCATGGCACAGCTCTTGGATGGTTTGTCTCATACCTCAATAATAGGACACAATCTGTGGTCATTCAAGACGTGAAATCGTGTACGCATCAGCTTACATACGGAGTGCCACAAGGTTCCGTTCTTGGGCCCATTCTCTTTTCACTCTATATGAAGAATCTCGGCAATATCATTCGGCATCATGTTGTGATGTACGAGTCATATGCTGATGACACCCAGCTGTTGCGTTCCACTAAACCGGACTCACTTCCAGCCGATATGTCTATAATCGAAGACTGTATCCTTGACTCCAAAGCATGGATGATACAAAGGAAGCTGAGATTAAATGACAGTAAGACCGAGGTTTTGCTGTGTGGATCACCCAGTAGCACTGCTAAGGTGGATGTGTCTTCGTTGGTAGTGGGTAATGAGAAAGTTCCTTTCAGTGATTCCGTGAAAGACCTTGTGTGTTTTCTAGACTCAAATTTATCCATGGAAACACACGTAAACTCTGTTTGTAAGTCATGCTATTTTCATCTCAGAAATATTGCTTCCATTCGTGATATTCTGACATTTGATGCAGCTCACCACCTAGTTCGTTCACTTGTTCTCTCACGTTTGGATTATTGCTGCAGTCTTCTTGTAAATATCCGCCAAGATCTATTGTCCAAGCTCCAGATTCAGAACTCAGGAGAACTCTGGCGCGATTGATTTGCCGAGTCAACAAGCGCAGTCACATTACACCATTGCTGATCGCTTACATTGGCTGCCCACGAAACAGAGAATAGAATATAAAATCCTCACTCTCGCTTTCAAGTGCCTCCATGACAAAGCTCCAATCTATCTGAAAGATCTCCTCAGTGAATATGTCCCACCACGGCTTTTAAGATCAAGTTCTAATTGTCTGTTGAATGTCCCCAAGGTCAGATTAAAGTCATATGGACATAGACAGTTCTCTTACACAGCTCCCCTTTTCTGGAACTCACTGCCTCTTCACATCCGACAAGACGCGTCCGTGGAATCTTTCCAGTCCCAACTGAAAACTTTCCTTTTTAAACAAGCTTATGAACTTTAATCCTTTCTTCAGATCACTCTATCTTTTAGCGCCTAGAGAAATTGCCTTGCAGTTTGATTTGTGCGCTATACAAGAACACTTATTATTATTATTATTACTTTTGTAGAAAATATAAGCCGCATAAAGACCCAGAACTATTTTTAATGGCACCCTGATCAAAGTTGTCAAGCAGGCCAAGTTCTTGGGTCTAATTTTCGACTCTCATTTAACTTTTTTGCCGCATATTAAATCCCTTTAAGCTAAATGCCTGAAGGCCCTTGATTTGTTTAAAGTTGTTTCCAACTCAAAGTCGGGAGGGGATCAAGCTACCCTCCTCCACCTATATCGATCATTGGTGCGCTGGGAACTTGATTATGGCTCCATCAAATATGGTGGAGACTTCAAAAGCAACCTAAAACTACTTGATTCTGTAAGACCTAAGACTTTGTCTTGGGTCCTTTAGAACCTCTCCTATTGATAGTCTCTATGTTGAGGCTGATGAGCCATCCCTTAACCTACGTCGTATCAAAAATATATCTCCTTCCCGTCTTCTTTCTGCTCCTCCTTGGCAACTGGTGAGACCTGAAGTTGACCTAACTCTGACAAAGTTTAAGAAATCTGAAACTAATGAATTACAGTATAAACAAGAATAATATCAATTAAAAAATAAATATAATACATACAAATCCTTATTTACAGATGGGCCCAAGGATGGTGGCGCAGTGGCATGTGCCACTGTCATTGGATCCAGAACAACATCTTCGCGACTACCAAATAACAGCTCTATTTTCACATGGGAAGCTAACGCCATATTAACAGCTCTTAAATATATTAATAAACACCGTAAATATATACAATACATAATCTTTTCCGATTCTCTTTCGTGTCTTCAGGCTATTAAAAATCTTTCTTGTAAACATCCACTTATATTAGAAATTATTGAATTGTATAATGAGCTTGCTTCTGGCCAATGCGACATCATCTTTTGTTGGTTACCCAGCCACGTTGGCATTTCTGGGAACACAAAGGCCGATCTTGCTGCCAAGGCAGCACTACACAAATCTGTGACACCACTTCTGATCCCATACTCTGATTACAAAGGTGCTATTGGATCTTATATCCGTGATCTGATGCAAAAGAAGTGGGACACCCAAGTGGGTATTAATAAATTACACGAAATAAAACCAACTATTGGTTACACCTACTTGGGTTGTCAGTCCAGATTTGAAGAGGTCATCATGCGACGATGTCGTATTGGCCACACCAGATATATACATGAATACCTATTGAAAGGTCCTCGAGGATCCTCTGTTCTGCATCCCTTGTGATGAGAGAATCACGGTCAAGCATGTCTTGCTTGACTGCATTGAATATTCCATCACAAGGGATAACAATTTTAAATCACGAACTATGAAGGATATTTTTAATAATATCAGTTCTCATTTAGTTATTGCATTTTAAAAATAATTAGATTTGTTAAATAGGTAAGTATTTTATGATTGGAAGTATGAATTAATAACTCAGATTGTTAGTGTCTGTATCCTTGAGGGGGGTTAAAGTACTGTAAAATTATTGTCCTCCTGAGAGGGTACGTAAGTCCCAAAACATTCCCAGTAAATTAAAACTCCACTTTTTTAATCGTAAAGTATGTGTAATTGTAATATATGGCTAGATTTGTCTCAATTGCTAACAGCTGAAGGGATGGTGTCAATCCAGCTAGGGCCCATGCAGGAAGCAAATGTACTGTAAGTCTCCATTGTCCCTAGAATGGTGATCTACCTTCAGTTGTTGGCAAAATATAGCCTGTTTTTATATTGTATTGTCATCTATAGTTAAACTGTTTTAGATCTAATTACTAGTTTTAAATTCAAATCTGTGATAATCTAGTTATTTTACAGTCCTTCGTTGACAGGTTTTTACAATTTACCATTAATTACTATGTATAAAATTAATTGTTCCCGTCACGATATGGCTGAAATATTGCCAATGTGACGATAAATTTTAACTCACTCACTTATTAGGAGGGTAATAACAATTTCAGCATGATGTGGTATTAAAGGTTAGTAGCTACTGAAGAACAGGAATTGTTGAAATATGAACTGGATACTTGCTAAACATACAGAAGTTTCAAATATTTCATCTTTCTTTATTCTTTGATACTACGTTTCGGGGCCTGTTCCTGTCCCATCATCACTTAAAACTCATAAACAGTTAACTGTGCCCATGGCGTCACAATGCTATGGCGACGCAATACACAGGGACGTCATGGTGGATACATATAACAGGGCTAATGGGAATACATGTTATTATGAACATATAAAATATCGTTTACTACAAAATTGGAAATTTCACAAGCACACGTAATTAATTGAATTAATTTAGAAATGAACAGATACTTATATATACTTGTAAAGTAATTACAGTGTATACATAGAAACTATGGATTATACATGGGTTCAGTGTTTTTATGAAACAGTGACGAAGGTAGAGTATTGTCTATTGTTTTATGAAACATGCACTCGGGAGGTACACACCCTGCTTTATTGCTGGTTTTGTACGTTTGATGAAAATAACTTTCAATCAACCTGCGTTTCCGCCAGTCACTACTGTTTCTTTGGGTTTTTTTGTAATTTTTTATTTTGTTTTTTGTTGTTTTGCGAGTACTTCAGTTTCGCAGTCAATTCCATGAATAGGATTATTCACAATGTGTTAAACTGCAGATTTCAGATCCATCATCATCTTCTTCTTTATTTCCTCCACTGTAG